TAAAAAATCTGGCATCATCCTTGCCTTCTGTTTCTTCTTTTTGTCTCTCTCACTCACTCACAAACAATTTTCCAGCAAATCTTCTCAAATTTACCTTCAAAATCTGGAACCTGACCACCTACAACAATTTCTTCTACCACTACCTGGCACAAAGCCCATGTTATCTCTCCCCAGACTATTACAACAGTCTGTGTGACACATAACAATTTGTGTGACAGATGAGCTCTATTGGCCAGATTCCCTTGCAGCTGGGTGTGCCAGTGTGGTTCACTTGTGGCCCACAAGATGGACTCAGAACTGCTGCATGAAATTCTGGGAAGACCTATTAAAATAGAATAGGCCAGCCATTCTTTCATGTTCCCTCCACTGCCTTGAAAGTGGGCATGATTGGGCTGGGGATTTAGCTCAGTGGTTCCACTGCCTGCCTCGCAAGCTCAAGGCCCCGAACTCAATCTCCAGTACCAAAAAAAAAACAAAAAACAAAAAACAAAAAACCAGAGTGGGCATGGTGGCTGCAGCCTTCATTATGGAACATGAAGCATCCAACAGGATGGATAGCAGGCATTCCACGTGGTGAATCAAAACTACAGAATAAGCCTATGTCCTTGATGACTTTGTGCAGCTACCTGACCACCTCTAAACGGCATACCTCTGGATTTTTTTTAACATGAAGAAAGAGACAGAACTTAGGTTTTCTGTTATATATAGCAAGCCTAGCTGAAAAACTATTCTGTCTGTATCTATCATCCATCCTCCACACAGTGGTCAAAAATGATCCTTTTTAAAAGCAAATTGAGTTATATCATCTCTCTGCTCAAAATCCTCCCATGGTTTTCCTTCTCACTCAGAACAAAAGCCAGAGTCCCCACCATGGTCTACAAGACTGCATGATCTGCTCCCCAACCACTTCTCTAAACGCATTTCCCTCTACCATCCCTCTGGCTCTCCCCACTACTACCACAGGGCTTTCTTCTTGGGCCCCAATATACCAGGATGCTCCACCCTGGGGGCCTTTGTTTGCATCTGTCTCTCAATA